GGAATGCCACGGCGTGTAGTGTGGAAATGCGTCGTCCAATATGGCGACGGTGTAGTAGGCTTATACACAAGTTCCCGAAGGATAAAAATAAAAAGGCGCAGAGAACGGGAAGTAAAGGTCAAAATATCAGACTGGACCAGTGGCGGAACCAAATATCTGAGATTGCCCGAATTTCTAACATAGTTATGAGATTTCCTCACGACAACTCTTTTCTATGTGATGTAAGTTTTCATATGGTGATTTCAGGCGTTTACTCTGCAAATGTTGCTTTATGTTCAGTTATTAAACAGGATAGGCCTGTAACTTATATTACGGTCCTATAGGGCTATATGGAGTCATTTATCTAATATCGTACCGTATAGTGAATACCGGTATCAGGCTTATTTTAGCCGATCAAAATTTTGTATGACAGTATTTGTCGCATGTTCTGTTCAGTGGCGTTTCTATCTCGGGGGTTAATATACGGAAAGCGCTCAAATTCAGAGTTCATCATCATTTCATGTTTATGCATGGACATACCAAATCAGTTGAAAAATGTGAACGGACAGAGTGCCGTCAAATGGACAGACGAACGGGAAGACTGACCAACCTACCCACAGTTTATTATATTCTTACAAATCTTTTTAACATTGCCTATAAAATGCATCAAAATCCTGAAAATGTGAAAGACATTTCCATTGATTGACAACCATCTTGAAACATGAAGAGAGTAACAAGATGGCACCTAGTGAGAAGGTTGTTCAGAATCTCTTTATATAGGACACTGATATGGACTTCTTCAACAAAACCCAGTTGCAGTGGAGTAGATCAGAATCCTGACGAGGCTGAATTCAAAATGATTTGAAGAGAAAACATGTAAAAATTATATTCTTAAATTAAATGAATATGAAATGGGGGTACAATTAGGGGTGCAAACTATCTTTCTGGCGCAAAAATTTGTTTTCTGTCCTTGTTATTCCATATCAATGACAACATAGCCTCTTGTCCGTCTACTTCCCGAAATTAGCAGTGTTTTGCTTTATGGGCCGGAATTAAGTAGCAGTTTAAAATTTTGTGGAGCAATTTCTTATATGACAATTGAAATTGCATACCACTTTTTAACGTTATTCCAATTATCATGAAATCCGCATCCTTTTGATATGCAAAATATGATGTAATTAATGTTTATACATCCCGTCCGGATGAAAAAATCACAAGTTGGCACAATGCAGACACCATAATATCGAGTGCTAATATCGCAGTGATTTGACCTTATTAAGGCCTACATGTACACTTTTTCTACTATTATCCCCATTGTAATTTCTCAATTAATCGATACTTGCATATGTTATATTATTTATCCCCGTGCCATTGAGTCTAAATTTCACGGTCTCGCGCGTATTGAGAAAAGACCAACCGATAAATATAGTAATCTCGGGTTCTTGCAGAAATAGACATTTATTGGTTATTATTTTATTACAAATATAAATGTCGTGTTTCGATCGTTAAATGACGAAGCATATCAGTATATATACGGTATATATCTACTGAGTGAAGTAGGCCATATCAATGCTGTTCTACTATCCTTTCCGAAATGTCTGCTATCCACCTTCGTATAATATTCCTTATTCAGCAGAATCTGAGTGGCAAAAAAATGCTCTACTGACGAAAATTGCATCGCATCTTGTCGAAAATTGTATCGCAAACTGCGATGCGATACCGCTTATTTTGTTCCCAGACATGCTATACGTATAGATGCGACATGTGGCATTCCAAGGAGTAAATTACATCTTGGTCTCAGAAACGCGAATTGTTCCGCTAAACCAATCTGTAATAATGTCCACAGCTAAGTGTCGAAGTTTGAGCCATCAAAGTATATCCATAATTATATGTTTGAAAATAATTTTAATAGTGTCGTTTTCATTTTAAGAGACTTCTTATTTTGAAAATGCGTTAATGACTTCATGTGAATACAGTAGACTCAATTATCCTGTCCCACTTCGTCTGTCTACGCACAACTGCGACGGAAGACTACATCAACAAGACGTTCACTTTTCGGATACCCCAATTTTTAGAATAAAGATAAGCTTGTGAACGAAATAAATGAAAAGTTCAATTTTTTGTTTGAGGTCTATTTGAAGGAATTATGCGATTTTCGTACACTAGTAGTAGTTCTGAAGACTATTTACATATATTCAAGGCCCAAATCAGCGCCCGAAAATGCCACTCTAGTTCCTTGAAAGTTTATGTGCTCGGATGAATTTAATAAGGTGGATCTGACATGAACCTTAATTGAAAAATGAAAATCGTGAAAATGTTGAACCAGATTTTCACACAAAAAGATTGTCACGACTTCAAGGGGCCGTCTATGATAGATAAGTATGAGCCGATTCTGGGGAATCCTTGTATGAGAAAATTATGTACTTAATTCAATTGCCAAACCCCGCAGCCTCCTTGTTCATCACACAGATTCCGTTCAACTTTCTCATCCCCCATCAGCTACCGATTTAGGAAGATTTAATGACCTGTATCATAAACAATCCCCTAATACAAATCCACGCAATCGAATGATAGGAGTCTTTTCGCAACACATCCACTGGATGGACCCAACTGCCAAAGTTATTTATTCTCAATGGGTCTCCAATTTATACTAAACGTGGGGGAAAACTCAAACTCTCCCCTGGAAGAAATAGTTTTAGATAGAGGGTTGACGTTCATACCTACATCTAAACCCTTTTCCCTCGAACCAATTTTATCGTCGGTATAGCACGTAAATATGACTTAAACTAAATTATATTTCGTGAAAGACTTGGTGGAGGAAAACGAATATCATATATAGAAAGTCTTGATGGAATCAACCCAACGGCGCGAATGACAATAACATTTTGAGTAAATGCGATAGCTTATACGAAGTTTCCCTTTTACAATTTGTAACAACCTTACCAATTTTGAGCGCTTTGAAAAGGATCAGACTATCATTATTCGAAAGAGTGACATTAGGAATTGCTGTCATTCAAAATAGCGATGACTATATGTTTGAGTAAGAAAAGCAAGAAAGTAATCACAATCACTACCGCGAAATAATGGAAACAGCTCTCTAGTACAAATCTTCTTTTAATCCGATTCTCAGTATGACTATATTTGCGCAAAAGCGGAAGTACGTCAACATATATACATTACTGAAAATCCATAAAAATCTGAATGATGCGTAGCCATTTTAATACCTTAATGAAGTGAGAATTAAGCCCCCCAGCACAATCTTCTTCAGTTCAGCAGAGATTGATTCATGTACAGTGTCTTTGTTCAAAATCAATATATAGATTGTGATACATTTTTGGCACCTCAAAATTGTCAAAAAGAAGTTTTCTGGCCTTTGATTCTTCAAATTCAGTACAAAATCAGAACACCAGCACCAATTCATTCCTGGCGACGGGGTAGGGAAGACTTATTTTTCTGATTGTTCCAGCGAATCATACCAAGTTTCCGACTATATTGTATTTTTATACTGCCATTGGCATGTAAACAACCATTTTACCTTAAGTACACTATTGAATTATTGAAAAATTAAACATTCATGACAATGCATTTTTTTTTTTATCTCTTTAGATGTAAGTATTTATACAAATATTGATAACAAATCCGATTTAGATGCTGTTCGGAAAGCCTTTCTTAAGATTTGAACGACATTTAGAAGTTGAGAGTAGATATAACAAAAAACACAAGGGGTATATTATGGTATAACTCACTTCTTTAATAACAAAGCACGTAACGTGTCAACACAATTTACACGTGTCGTCATCAGATGAAATGAAGTAGTGGGGGTAAACATGAGGATGGATAACAATAGTT